CTTAGTCCCCTTAGTCCCCTTAGTCCCCTTAGTCCCCTTAGTCCCCTTAGTCCCCTCAGTTAGTTAGCTTCGTCCCCTTAGTCCCCTTAGTTAGTCAGCTTAGTCTCCTATTTCAATTTGAAATCAAGTGCTCTTTTTTCTTTTTAAATTCAGATTGAATTTAAATAACCCATTGTATGAAGAATCTGTAAGATAAGTATCATCGAAGCTAAGTATAAAACACTTAATCTTGCTTTATTGGAAACTGAAATGATATCTATCAACGATATTTAGTTTGAATCGAAGCTTCTGGGTTTTATTTCTTCAGTATGTAAAATCATGATGAAAAATGACTATTCTTATTCACTTATAAATGGCATAGTAAATTTGCTGTTTTAGAAGCATTTGATATCGTAAAATCAAACCGTAGACGGCAAAGCATGTATACATTACTTGTACTGTGTATTGATGAGTAAAAGCTACAGTGATTACATCGTATTGTGCACATATTGAAGCGTATTCGTTTATATGTATTATTATTATTTTGCCTATTCTTCACTTTGGTTGGAAAAAAAAACAAAATACAATTAACATTGATACAAAAGAAACCACATCGATATTAAGTAGTAGTAGGAAAAAAACGAAGGTATTCTTATTTATCACCACTATTCTCCTCTTACGGCGTATGTATGGATGAATGCACATAAGCCAAGCTTATTTTGAAATGTATATAAAGACAATATAATGCTTCTCGTTTATACATAAATAACATCAATATAAATTGTGTTGTTATCTTCATCATTGGTAAGTAAAATTTCAAAATTATACCACAAATAAGTAAATGCTTTTCGCAAATCATCTCTTTCGATATTCTGTATAATTCTCAGTGATAAGTGAAATTTTTCTCCTTAAATAATATTACTAGCATTTTACTTTGTTTTTATCATTTCTGGCATAGGTGAATGGTTAAAATGTTCGCTACATACTTAAAAGATACTGTGCATGAACTTCGAGTCTACCAGTTATAAAATGTAAAAGTACATATAGAGCTCTTTCTTGTTAATGAGTATGGATATGGGCAATTTAAGTTAGAAAGTAGGAGAACTGTAAGTCATACTACTCATGTATCCAGAACTTCATTTAGTAATAAATGTAGTTAAAAATCTTTGACTTTATAAATCATTCTCGAACAGCATCCTACACTGCGCGGTACTTGAAAGAGAGAATATTCATATTCTTCCTGTTTTATATTATTATCATAATCCATTTTAGTGGAAAAAAACTTTCGGTAATTTCTTGTCTAAGGAATACAAGAGAATAGCTAATATTAAACCATTTTTTATCATTAGACTTCTGCAATAAGAGTTATCAATCCACTTTGTGAAGTCTATTATAAGATGCATATTTCAATATGGAATTCTTTTATGATAAAAGGTTATATAATACCTTTTTAAAGATGAGTAAGATACTCGTTCAAGGATAAGTACTATATAATTTTGATTAATGCAATTTCCTTTGAGTCAGTTTATTTGACAAAGAATTTACTTTCGATAAAGTCTTTAAAACGAATAGATTTAACAATCCAATATTTTGTTTTCGGCATATTTTCTGTGACATTCTCACCGTATCTCAAAATTCTTCGAGAGTAAAAGTATGAAAAGACATGATTGGAGGTTCTTTTAGCACAGAAATATTTCATAGAATAACATATCTCATATCATTATGAGGCGTGAGACAAAATAATATTCGATTTCAAATAGAGGAATATAGAGATGGAATATCATTAGAATTACTCATATACATGGACATACATAGATGAATAATGATAAACAGTTCGTTTACCTCTAACCATATCTCGTCTGTCTTCTTCAAATCACGCACACAAAGCAATATACTATGTAACCAAATATCTATATATTAATGCAAGATTCTTGAGATCTACTATACTTACTATAATGAAAGTTATAGACATGAGAAATCTGCATATCTATATGTGATGAGGCTATAGAGGCAATATTTGAATGGAGAGATAATATTGTTGTTGACTTAGCATCATTAAAATTTGTGATATTTTTCATGTATAGTGAGATTCTCTGTTCATGTCTATTGTCGTGATGAGATCTACTTATCTAAACTCTTACAATCAATAATTTCGAGAAATATTGAGCAATATTTTAGTCAAAATTGACTCGGAAAATAGAAATCGTACAGATTCATCGATTCCTACAATAGTCATTATTGGAAATATGTTTATTTTATATTTGATTAAGTAATCATCTAGTATGCTGACAATTTATGAAATCTGTTTTTATTCAAAATTATGTTTAGATATACGTTGTTTCACTTAGAAAAACAAAAAGATGATGCGATTAATCTTAATAATGATGCTTGTACCAGCACTAATCAGTGCTCAACGTAATGGAGGGGAGGGTGGTCAGCGAGGACATGGTCAACCGAATAATGATCGAAATGGAGGCTTGGGTGTTGGTCATAGAAGATCTCGATGTGACGATTTGATTGATCAAACGTTTCAAATTAAAATAGACTTTACCAATGCCTCTGTCTACGAATTACTTCTATTTAATGAAGGTGGCACAGTTGATATAATTGACAATACACAAGAAGTTGTCGCTATAGCATCGGGATTCCCAAGTCAAGGATTCACATCTGGACTTGGAAGATGGATATGTGTTGGAAGAAATCGAATTGAAATCCGCTCTGCTGGTTATAATTATGCCAATGCCGGCAGTAATGCTCCAAGCACACTATTCTTCAATAAGTATTTTTTAGACTTCGATGATCATTGGGAACATGTGCACGGAATAACGAAAGCCGCCAATTATCTACTCGGTGCTTATCCACTGGATCGCAACGCACAGCCAATACCTAGTCAAGTAACTCAATCAACCAATCTTGAAGGTCGGCGATTTCGGTATTTTTAGACGTTAGATGAACAAAAGAAGATTTTCAACAGCTGAAAAACAAACTTGAAAACATTGTCACTTTTTTTTCTTCCTCTATATTTTACTCATTTTGTCTTCAAAAATAAATAGATAGATCCTTTCGATAATTTCCACTCGAGATAGATAGAACATAAGAAGACTTTTATTCTATCACATTGTTAAATTTGACAAGAAGATTTTTAGAAAGATTGCAAAGAATAAGTTATATGACACAAAAGATGATGGAGCCTGATGCTTGACTAGAGATCAATGCATGAATATAAACTATATTTTAGAAAGTCAAACATCTAGAATCATTGGCGAAACATTGAAATGATTCTAAATTGACTTATAATAATTATAAACTAAAGTTATAATTTTCAATATAAATTAAAACTATTAATCACACTCTAAAGAAAATGGTATCGCACAGAATTTTCTTTCAACAAAATCGAAATCTATTTTAAGATTTCCTAAAAAATTCGAGATAAGTTCAAAATAATTGTTAAAACTCTAAGAATACTTTTCGAAGTTTTCTAAAGTATCATACAAAAACTCAAAAAAGACTTTGATTTCGTTCCATAATTCGAAGCTTTTTCAAGTTCTATAAGAATTACGAAACCTTTTTTGAAATTTTGTAGATTCTACAAAACTATCTTTGATTCTGCATGATACTTTATCTTTTTCAGAGTATTTTAGCTTTATTTACTTTTCGATTTTTTTAAGTAGTTTTAATTAAATTCAAATAGAAATTCTTTTTGATCGAATCGACATTTGTAATCTAACAAATTTAAAAGGATATGTTTTTTTTTATTTTTTGTTTAGTAAGAAAAGTTTGTTTTGAGACCTTATTCTCAGAGATTTTATGTTCTGTGCTCTCCATGTTGGATAATATGATCTGCAAAGAGCTGTATTGATCAAAGGTACTGTTAAATACCGTAATCATCACAGTGGATTATTCATCAATTGTTGTATACGATCTGAGAACAATGAAATACAATAATATTCATGATGGTTGATTAACATGTATTATATGCAATATTGCAGAAGTCTCTATGGATGTTATAGATTGCAGTGATATCTGTAAAAACAATGCCAAATAACATGAAAACACACTTTCAACACAAAAAATGATGGGGTAATCCTTTTTCGTCCCTAATTTTTTTTACGGACATCCGGTAGAGCAATTCGTTCCGAACTTCAATTTCTTTGAAAAAGTCTGGATGTTCGGAATGAAACGTCCGGAAGATCGGAATGAAAACACCGGATGTTCGAGATGAAAGTCTGCCAGGTGTTTGGAATCGAATAAAACAAGGTTTTTTTCGCGATTTTGTCTTCAAAAATGTGTGGATGTTCGGAATAGAAAAGGTCGGATGTTCGGAATGAAAACTACGGATGTTAGTAATAGTGAGTGGCGGATGTTCGTAACAGAAAAGAACCAGTGTTCTTTATAACATAGTTTATCTTCTTTTATTTTCTAGTATATTTTTTTACAAAAAAATCATAAGTCAACAAAAAAATTACACAAGTGAGAGAATAAGTATCTGTTAGCAGAAAAAAAAATGAATGTCTAATTTTTATGTACTACATGTCTTGTTTTTTTCTTTTTTGAGATTTGTTTCATATTGTCATCATTTGTTTCATCTTCTTTTCGTTTTTTTCCACTTGATGAAGCGGTGGTTGAAGATTTATGAGCATTACTAGCCAGGGTGTGGGTGTGGGTGTGGGTACGAGTGTGGACAGGTGTGCAACAAATACCCACGCCCAAATATGTGAACGGCCCCTTTACAAAACTCTAACTGAATTTACAAGAAGATGTCACTATACTCCAGGACTTAAAATATACTATATGAGCGAGTCCTTTTCTTTTCTATGTTAAAAAAGACACCAAAATTCGTTCCGAACATCCGTCATTTTTTATTCCGAACACCCGTTACTTTCTGTTCCAAACAGGCGTCGCATTGTGTTCCGAACATCCTGTATTTTTCATTCCGAACACCTGGCACATTTTGATTCCGAACATCCGACAAACGATTTAATGCTCTATACCTCCACTCCGAACATCCAGACAACTAACCGGATGTTCGGAAGAGTAGGGACAAAAAAGGACAAACCCAAAATGATTTTGTTCTTCATGTCTATAGAGAATATACAAAAGTCTTCTGCATTCGTATAAAAGTAGTCAAAAAAAATACACTGGGTATGGCCAAACGTTACGGAATTTCATTTTTTTACATTATAATACGTATATCTCTACGGTAGTAAAAGCTAACTCTTTGAAATTTTTATCATAGACAGAGACTACTAAGTTCTACTACCAGTAAAAATTTTATTGGATTTTTCCTTAGCCAGAGCTAAGTTATTCCAAAGAAAGTGACCGTTACGGAATATCAAAAAATGGAATCTTTTTTGAGGGTGATGTGAGAGTTGAGCATTTTACTATGAATCGAAGTGACATATAAATAACCATTTTACGTACACGTTGTTCAGTTCTCTACAAGCTATCAGAATATCACGTTGTGTGCTAACAATTATGACTGCATAGAATAAAAACACTAAAGATACTGTTCGTTACGGAATTTCAATCGTTGCGGAATTTCACGTTTCAAAGTCGAAGGTTTTGAGGACCTGAAATTTTTAAATTATCATGATAAAAATATATCTTTTTCCTAATTTAGGAGTAGTACAAAGATAGTTCTATTGTTCAAATAAACAAGTTTTATTCTCACAGCAAATGCATATTAAAATTGCTAATCATCATTCAGACAAAAAATGTAATTTAACAAGATTCAAAATCATACTTTATTATGAAATTAGTCAATAAATTTATTATATATATATATATATGATGAAAGAAAAATGAGGATTATATCACTCATAACTAAGGTATCTCATAGCTACCAACATGTTTGTTAATCCGTCAATAGTGTACTTTCAATTGCAAAGACAGTATTCTTTCACTTTTGTAATTTCAAACCTTCGAATGTGAGGGTGACCGTTAGCTGGCCATCACCCACTGTAACATAATGAATTGATTATGATGCTCCTCAGACAACGATCCCTGAAAATAATTGAAATAATATTTCACGTCATATTTGTAATCTCTTATAAAGTAATTAAAAATAATCTGTAAAATTTCACTGATGTTTTTAGTTTTTGTTGTATGCGCACTAGTAATCAAAACTAAGTACGATATTTAAATAGTAAATTATTTGATTGTTAAGATTAATTAGGAAAATGTGGATAAGTTGGATTTCAAAATATTTCCTTCTTTTAATCATAAATTACAGTAAAAGTTCTATTAATGAGCTCGACTCTTCTGTAATCAATCTATTATACCGAACATCCTCTAGTCTCTCGAAGTGAATTTTGCTGGTATTTGCCACTTCCTGTATGATCATCACGTCATTCGATCTATAAAAATCTTTTTTTCTGGTCCCGACTGTATATTTTACTCTCATTATTATGAACAAAATAGAGGCCGCTATGTAATGAAATCATTTTTATAGCTATACGGAGGCCATTATTTACTCGTGTGATTGGATTTATAGGGTCGTCAGAAGTGAACCAAACTCGACGTGAACCAAACTGGAATCCATAGTCCATAATTCACCTCTTTTGACTGATACTATGAGATAACTATCGAAAGATGTCGTATATAGTTGGATTGTTTTTCATTGTATCTTATATTTCATATTTTCTGCGCTTCTTTTCATTTTTACTGTTTTTCGGGTAGTAAATGATCGGTTGACATTGATTATGTGTTCTGTAATTCAGAAGTTGGAATTCAAGATATTCGATGAACAATAGCTCAATATCATACGGTAAATTTCATTAAATAAGAATCTTCTATTCCGAACAATAGTAATCAAATTTTGAAGGCTTTGTCACTTTGGTTTCACTTGCTAGTATTGATTCATAAATATGAATATCTATGGCGTTTGTTTCGTGTTCGACGATTTGTTTTCATTTTATTTCAACAATAAAAATCGAAAATACACATTTATTATCAAATAAGGTATGAAAGAACAATATAAAAAAATTGCTATACATGTAAGTTTTAGTTGTATAAGATGATGGAAAAGAATTCAACAACAAAATTTTAGCAGTCTTTTTTCTGTAATGTTAGGCAACTACAGCGAATCTAGACCTTGGTCGTAATAACCAAGGAAGTTTTCTATGTAATGTGTTCTAATGTAAGATTTTTCCGGTAAATTGTAATGTTGAGACTCATAAAAAGAACCGAGCATGTTGACTTGCAGGCTTTAATAAATAGAGTTGAATCTTATATTAAACAACGTTATTTTCAAGAACACAGACTTTAAGATACAGCGAGAGTCGCCAATCTTTTACGAATAGCTCTTAGAGAATTAAAAATATCAAAAACAATGTATAAAAAATAATTTAGTGAGCTTTTTGATAAAATTCGTTGTCTTACACCTTGTTTGCTGTTCTTAACTGTTCAAAACAAAATCATAAAAGCTGTGATGAACTTCATCTTGTTTAAGAGTCTGCATTCTTGAAAATGGCATCTAAAAGAGTATCTATGATCAA